GGGCTTTTACCCTGATCTCTCTAGACGGGCTTCCTCTCTTGGGCCATTTCCTCTTTTGGACCATTTGAATTGAGCTGAATATTTTGTGTATCAACACTTGGCATGCAAGTTAGGATGCAAATCATGGACAGTATGCTAAAAGCTTTCGAAGATGATAACGAGAGTTTACTGCTGAAGCTTCGAGAACGAATTGCTAGATCATTTTAGTTATGAGTTAGAAGTATTGAACGTTACAGATTAAGTCCTAATCTCTACTTACAGGAGGTCTAACGATCAAAATTATAATCATAAAACTATTCGTACAGGGTTGGGATCAGCATTCCACAATGTGTAGTCAGGTTTGAGCATTTATCTATTGAAGGAGAAGCATTTTGTGGAAGTAGAGCACTTCCAACTTTGCTCAACTCGACTATCAATGCATACGAGGTAATTTTCTAAGCGCCCTGAACTATTCAGTTATTGTTCTATTTTTTTTCGATTAGACTAGAATTCCAGTTGAATATGTATTTTCTTCTGTCAATGATTTTTATCCTGTCATTTCATTTAATATTGTGAATAGCGGATTCTTGGTTCTCTAAGGATTTTCCCGTCTAAGAAGAAAGCTGTGAAAATACTAGAATATGTCTCTGGAATAGTGAAACCATCGAGGTAAGTTTTGAAGACTAAATTTTGCTAAATAAACGTGTCCGCTGCCTAACATTTTAAGCTTTTAGACGAGATGCTTCAACAATATGCTGCATAGAAAGTTTCAAAATGTAATTCATTTCATTCTTCCAAGTTTTGCACTAATGTGTAATATTCGGGATGACATTACTTCTGGGACCTCCAAGCTCTGGGAACACTACATTGCTGAAGGCACTTACTGGAAAGTTGGAGGAAGATCTTAGGGTATTTCATTTTGTAATTGTTTTAGACATAGTTTTTATTATTGAATTCTGAACATTCTTGCCCTTAGGTTTAAACTTTGTTTAATTTTCTTCCTCTTTTTTCACTTCAGACATTAGATAACAGGAAAAATCACTTGCTGTGGGCTTGTGGCCTCGAATTGAGGAAATTCATTCCTCAGAGAACTTGTGCTTACATTAGCCAGCATGATCTTCATCATGGTGAAATGACCATTAGGGAAACATTGGATTTTTCGGGGCGTTGTTTTGGAGTTGGTGCAAGATATGAACTGCTTGCCGAATTGTCAAGGAGAGAAAAAGGTGCCGGAATTAAGACAGATCCTGAGATTGACGCATTTATGAAAGCCATTGCAATTGCTGGCCAAAAGACTAGTGTGGTCACAGACTATGCTTGAGGTTTGTTCCTTGCCTCAGTTGCCTGGTAGTTAGTTATATGCTCTGCTTACCGAAAGAACTCTATGCATCAAACAAATTTATGTTATTTTGTGCAACAGATAATTGGACTGGATATTTGTGCTGATACAATGGTGGGAGATGAAATGAGAAGGGGTATTTCTGGAGGACAGAAGAAGCGTGTAACGACTGGTATGTAAAATTAGGTTGAGGTTTTGAGGTGTCTCCTAATAATTCTGAATCATGAAAGTATAATTGCCAGTTTGGAACTTGCTAATGAAGATTCCATTGCTTTTTTCTCAATGCAGGAGAAATGTTGATCAGCCCTGCAAATGTTTTCTATATGGACGAAATCTCAACTGGTCTCGACAATTCCACCACATTTCAAATCGTTTAATTGTATGAGACAATGGTTCATATAATGGATCTAAACATGATAATCTCTCTTCTCCAACCTGCCCCTGAAACTTCTGATCTTTTTGATGACATTATCTTGTTTTCAGAAGGACAAATTGTCTATCAAGGTCCTCATGAGCAAGTTCTCGATTTTTTTGGGAGCGTGGGATTCAAATGTCCCGAAAGGAAAGGAGTTGCAGATTTTCTGCAAGAGGTTACTTCCAAGGAGGACCAAGAGCAGTATTGGTCAAGGAAAAATGAACCTTACCATATATATCAGTATCCGACTTTGTTAATCACTTCGAGTCTTTCTACATTGGGCAGAAACTTTCCAGTGAACTCAGAGGCCCCTGTGACAAGAGTGAAGCCCATCCTGCCGCATTGGTGAAGGAGAAGTATGGTATCTCGAACAAAGATCATTTCAAGGCTTGTTTGGCAATGGAGTGGTTATTGATGAAACGCAACTCATTTGTGTACATTTTCAAGACTACACAAATTACAATTATAGCTCTATTTACTTTCACTGTGTTCTTCGGAACCCAGATGAAGCGTGGAGAGATAGATGATGGGGGTAAATTCTACGGGGCATTCTTCTGCAGCCTCATTAATTTGATGTTCAATGGGATGGCCGAGCTTGCAATGCCCATATTTAGGCTTCCCGTGTTCTTCAAACAACGGGATGCC